GGGACATCCCAGCCAAGCTGGCCTCGGTGCTGGCCATCACCGGCGTGGGGCGGCGGGCGGCGCAGGCGGGCGCCCTGGGCCTGGCCGGCCTCTGCATCCTGGCCAACATCTTCGTGCCCCAAGGTGGGGTGGAGGGACAGAGGGATGGAGAGACGGAGGGATGGAGGGTGGAGGGACAGAGGGTGGAGGGATGGAGGGATGGAGAAATGGAGAGATGGAGGGTGGAGGGACAGAGGGATGGAGGTTGGATGGATGGAAGGTGGAGGGATGGACAGAGGGAGGGTGGAGGGACAGAGGATGGAGAGATGGAGGGACAGAGGTTGGAGGTCTGAGGGCTCCCCCGGACCTCCCCAGAGCTGCAGATACTGCGCATGGTCTTCGCCGTCATCGGGAAGGGCTCCTTGGCCGCCTCCTTCAACTGCGCCTACATCTTCTCCGGGGAGCTCTTCCCCACGGTCATCAGGTCCGTTCATCCGTCCACCTGCCCGCTGTCCACCCAGCGCATCCTTCAGCCGACTCTGTTCATCCACCCGCCCCGACTCATCCACCTGACCACTCACCTCTTCCTCCCCCTTCCGTCAGCCCACCCATCCACCCAACCACCAGCTCATCCATCAACCCATCCATCCATGCAACCACCAACTCATCTATCCAACCACTTCTCCATCCATCCAACCACCAAACCATCCATCCAACCACTTCTCCATCCACCCAACTCATTCATCCATCCAGCCTCTCCATCTACCCATCAACCCATCAACCCATCCATCCATCCACTTCTCCACCCATCCAACCACCAAATCATCCATCCAACCACTTCTCCATCTGTCCCATCAACCCATCCATCCAACCACTTCATCCATCCATCAGCTCATCCATCCATCCAATCACTTCTCCATCCAACTCATTCATCCATCCAACTCATCCATCTATCCAATCACATCTCCATCAACCCATCCCTTTCTTGATCCATCAACTCATCCATCCAACCACTTCTCCATCTCTCCGTCAACCCATCCATCCACTTCTCCACCCATCCAACCACCAAATCATCCATCCAACCACTTCTCCATCTGTCCCATCAACCCATCCATCCAACCACTTCATCCATCCATCAGCTCATCCATCCATCCAATCACTTCTCCATCCAACTCATTCATCCATCCAACTCATCCATCTATCCAATCACATCTCCATCAACCCATCCCTTTCTTGATCCATCAACTCATCCATCCAACCACTTCTCCATCTCTCCGTCAACCCATCCATCCACTTCTCCACCAACGCGCCGCTGCCGGAGACCGTCGAGGACGTCGAGAGACGGTGAGCCCTGGCGGGGAGTCTCGGAGGGCTCGTAGCGAGGTTGGGCCAACCTCCCCCTCGGGGTCTTCGGGGTCGTTTCCCTCGGTCCCTTCGCGGTGGGGAGATACGGGGGCAAACTTCAATTTCAGGGTGAGATTTGGAGGGGGGTTTAGGGGTGTTGGGAGGTGGGTAAAAGGGAGGGAACGCTTTTGGGGTGGAAACCGGCCGATTTGGCTGCTTTTCCGGCTGCTCATTTTCCCGGTCTTTCTCTCGCCACCTCGGCACCAGAGCGGGACACCTGAAGGACGAGGAGCTGCAGGTCACCGTCCCCTTGGCTCCCACCAAGGCCGAGCCGGGCAAGGACGGCGTCTGAGGTGGGACAAAGGGCC